TGTTCGATTTTTCGAATTTAGTATCGCGGTCGTGGTCGCGGATAGGTCGCGAATAGGTCCCGAAACGAACGTTTATATAAGTATTGCTCGAGCACGCACATGCGAACGGACAACGATCAGTATGATCGATGGTCGTCCATGTGTATAGGGGTGAGCTTCCGCGGCTTATCTTCTCATTTCACCTTTATAAGTTATTTTTTAGTTTGCGATTAGAAAGACTCGAGCTAGACGTAAGTTTCAGCGGGCATTGCGCTCGAAGGAAGAAGAGGCTAAAAGCCGAAGAGGCCCGGCAAACTGCCACGAAGAGGGTCACAACAAATGGTTTCTCATCCTCTGGATCATTTAAATGATTTCAGAGCATGGGAAGTCATTCTCGTTGCTACTTTGTCACTATGCTCTTTTAGTATTTGTAGTTGTATTTTTTTTTCTTTTTCATCATCTTCGTTCTGGGCAAATCGCGGTTTTTTTTTGTTAGTGTTGCGAAAAATTGATTATGGTTTGAATTAGAATCGCGAAGAAATGATAATGGTATTTGCTTTAGAGTTGCGAATTATGACAACGCGATTGTCTTTAACAATTTTGATTGTGAATTTTTGAAGTTATTTTAAAGTTGTAGATAGAGTAAAATATATCTTGTTTCCTGTTGTTTTAAATTAGATTATAGAGTCACTGCTTTTATTTAATTTTAGAGTGTTAGAATATTTGAAGTAGCTTTTTGTTCGTACAGTAGCTTTTATATTGTTAATAATAGTTATAATAGTTTTTATTCAATTTAATTTTAAAGTTAGTCTTGCGACATTGTTTCCTTTCGCGATTATTTTTTCTCTTGTTAGTGTTGCGACAATGAATGCTCGCGTTTCTTGAAGTAGCGTTGCGTTTACAAAATGCCCAAAATTCCTTCCACTGGATTCGTGGAAGGCTGTTCCTGTTCCTGGATCACCTGATGCAGTTACAAGAACTGTACAGACGTGGTCATTCATCAGCAATCTCTAGTTTAGTTGCACTGGAGGTGTCGCAATTAGTGTCGTGCATTTTTGAACACGAGTGCATAGATTAATAACGTTGCGTATTTATTTCCGGGAGTTTTAAACATGACGAAGCACTCTTCGCGTTTGATTTTGAAAATTTCCTATTTCACA